TTCTATGCGACCGGCTCAAGCACGGTCCTTTGAACAAAAAAGAGCGCTGCTCATCCAAGACGGGGATGAGGCTAGCGGAGAAGATGTAAGGCGAAGGTTCTTAGAAGTTTTGATGAAGTTGCGGAAGATGTTTACGTGTTGTTCTTTGTGCGTGAAACTCCGTCATCATAATAGCCTGGGCTTTTTCTTGTAGGCCACTTCCGGGATTGCAAATGCCAATCATGGAACTTTTGCTTGTAGACCGTTGATGTGAACATCTCATGTCAACCTTGGAGTGCCAACTAAGATTGGCCGTTCATCATTACATGATGTTCAGAAAAAAAGAAAGAACCCTGGAGGGAATAGCGCTCCAAATGCAAGATGAATATGCTTCAAACGTGCTGGATTTCCGTGCGGGATGCCTCTTGCGGGAACATGCGTTCCGTGTGTGCCCTGATGGGCTTGTGCGTTTTAACCTGACCTCAACCGTGGATGCCCCATGTGAAAATGATTAAATGCGTCCGCCTTTGCATGTGCATTTGATTTTAATATCTTTTGATCGTGTATTTGAAGGAGACTTGAGAGTTGAGTGAGTTTGATTGCGCTGCATATTGAAGAAGAAGTAAGTTAAAGAAGAAACGTGGCGTAGTGTAGGCGAGCAATGTAAATGCTGTGGTGTGCTGTAGGTGACCGATTCAGGTGTTGTGGTGCAGCGCCGCAGCGTTAGTGGTTAGTGTAGGTATAGACAGTGGCGTGGTGTATGTCAGCGGTGTGGATGTTGTGGTGTATGTGAGCGGTATAAATGCTGTCGTGTGTGCAAAGGTACGCTTTTTGACGAGGAGCCGAGCCTTCGCGGTGTTTTCGGCAAAAATTCTTTGCCAGGTGGCCACTTTTCCTTTTTATGGCCGCCGCCTGGTTCGCATCCGGAAAAGCCTCTCTAGTTACCAAAGGTCATGGTACACAGGGCGTGCTTCATCGCGCAAAGTTTCACAGTGCTTGGAAATCAGCAACATTTTCACCTGTTGATGGCAAGCTGGTGCTTGCCCCTCGGTCCGGGGGATTTGCGTGCGCAGCATGACGCTGCAGGCTTGCCTGGGCCTGGCAGCATTAATATGTGCAGCGAAAAAAGAGCTTTGACTTTCGGTTGCTTGTGGGGCGCAGGTGCTGCCTTTGGCGCACACCTTGAAGCAGGCCGCAAAAAAACCATGTGTGTTTTTTTTGTGTGTTAAGAAAATCAGTTTACGGGACCTTCGTGAAACAGTTTCTTGAGCTTGTGCCGCACTTCAAGAAAAAGGTCCGTTTTGACTGAAGAGAATGATACATGTATTTGATGAACGTTTTGCCTGAACATTTGACACTTTGCGTTCGATAAAATCCAGTTCGCCCAGGGGAGGACGTTTTCTTGTCCACAAGAGTTGGTTTGAACAACAGAGCAGCAATTGTTAATCACGCTTTCCGCATGACTGTTGTTTTCCTGCGCAGGTGGATGTCCATGGATTTTTTTGCCTCCGCTTGAGAAAAAGCGGGCGCTAGTGTCATCTTAATTTTTTAGTCTACACGCCCGCCCCCCTGGAGCTGTTGTGATTCGCTCCCTTGTTTCTCGCAATAGGCTTTCCGCCACAGTTGCAGGGAACAGATGCCCAATTGAGCGGAGATCAAAACCTTCCTTGTTTAGAACAGACAGGGGCTTTCAGAAACAACGTTTGGCGTAAGCAAAGTGTTGTGTTTCGTAAGGTGTCGTAAGCAATTATGCGGCAACGTTGTTGCCGTAAGCGCCGTAAGCTGTTGTTTTTGCTGGTGTTGTTAGTCTTTGCAGTTGCAGCAGCTGCAGCAAAGCGGCGTAAGCGGCGTAAGCAGAAACAATAAAGTCATGTCGTAAGCAAAAGATTGGAAAACGTAAGCTGCCGTAAGCATTTTCGTTTCAGAAATAAAATAGGATTAGGGTGTTGGGCACAGCTCAATTGTGAGTTGCGGGATTCCCAGTTGCCAGCGGCCAGTGCTGTCGCAGTTGCCGAAACTGACTTCCGAAACTGACTTTCGAATCTGCCCTACGCCCTTCCAAAAAAAGATAACTTGAGGAACCGCAGCAATGTCGCAAAATACAACACCGTTGTTCCTCCCCAGTGCGGGTACTCCACCACAATTCTTTTGCTTAAGCATGTTGATTGTTTGCTGATTTAACCTCAGGCGCCCTCGGATTAAGCCATTGTTGTTCCCTGAGGTTTTGGGCACGTGTTTGGGTGGCAGCTGCCGTATCAGTTCCAACGTGTGGCATAAGCGGCCGTTACTTATCTCTGCTTCCGGGATTTGAGCTCATTTGTCAGTATATGTTGTGGCCACCCAATTGTACCATTTTTTTTTCAGCATGTCACCATTGCACAGTTCCTTCAATCTTCATGCTGGATGTTCATCCATGGCTCACACGCGGCCATGTGTTGCTCAGCAAGGTCATGTTTATATATTGCCTTGCAACCAACTTTCCTGAATACTTAAAAACATTATGGGCTATGTGACAACACATGCCTCCCACATATACTTTGTCGTTCCAAGAAACCCATGAACGCAAACTCACCATGTTTAGTCAACCTTTCCAGTTAAAAGACCACAACGTGACTGCATGGTGTATATTTAGACGTTGGCTAACAGCAAGTCGTAACCATGGCAATAAACATTGCAGCTACGAAAATCGCACATTGCAACAGAGTGCATGCCATTCTCAATGGTCACATGGGATGGGGACCAGATCTTTGTTGGCAAGACCATGCCGCAGTGGGCACGGCCAAGTCCATCTTTTTCCGTGGTGCGTGCTTGGCATTGCCTTGCTTTGCTGGATCCAGGGGTCGAAATGTTTTGTCACCACAAAGTTTGGTGAGCAGCTTATATTCTTCGGACAGAGAGTGTTACCAGCTGCCCGGGCAGCCGATGGAGTTCGTGCCAAGCCCGCTTGTCGAGCACGCAAAGCTGCAGTGGCCAAAGCAGCCGATGCAGCTGAAGAGACTGGAAAACCAAAGAAGAAACGAGCAGGCCATCCTGCCAACAAATACTGATTTTTGTGTATCCCCAAGATTTTTGTGGACAAGAAATCCAACTGGCAACCTGAAAACACACACCTTGCCCAAAACAACACCGAATGAGGTGCGGTGAGGGGGTGTGTAAGCGTATTTGTTTAGCACCTTATCCCCACGACTTAGGAATCACGCAGACAAAGAAAACATTAAACGTAATTTTTAAGTACCTCATCGACAGTTACTGGATCTGCTCAGTGCTTTGCTTTGCCCCCCCTCCCACACACGGAGACCATGCATGGCTTTCAGACCTGCAGACTTGTCAATTGTTGTTGCTTTGACATGCGTCTCGCTTCTTAGCCCACCTCATGACATACATCAGTCTTTGTAATTGTTGCAACCGCTCCAACGTGCTCACATTCCAAAAAAAACATTCCATGTTCTAGCGAGTTGCTGCGATGCGAGTATGCAAGCTTGGGCGGGTAGCAAGTTCTAATGGTCTTGCATTTTTCGAAAGCATGGTTTGTAGTCCTTGGCTCGCTTGGAGGCTGAAGTTGTGTTGCATCTTTCTTTTAGGTCTGCCATTTTCATGTTTCTGTCTGACATTTCTTCTTGCAAGCATGGCAATCATATGTATCAGCTTACTTTGCGATCTGTAGCTTTTTTGCAACTCAATGTCCCAACTTTTACCTGGCCGTTCTGGCAACTGTTTCAGAACCAGAAAATGAGAACGGACCTTGTCAAAGGGTGTACTTGGCCGCTGTATGCGGATAAAAGGTTTCAGAGCTCAGCCTGATAAGGAACATGATTTTGAGAATCAAATGTCGTAGCCCTCTTCATCATAGCTTGGCTGTGAGGCCGCAAGGCCAAGACGCCAGAACCTAAAGCATCGCGTGAGGAAGTCCAGACACGAGGCCGGCTTCTGCTATTGCCAAAGCAGGGTGCTATGATTGATGATATTCTGGTACATGACATCACGAGGTACGGCCTGGGAGCAGAAACGTGACCAGCTGCGACGGCAAGCTTATGAGAGCTGGCAGAGCAAGCTGCGCCCCAGAAGCTGTAATCTTCCATTGCGTAGCACTTGTCATCATCATCATCATCATCATCAGCTGAGCCATGCCCATGCATTTTTTGAGGGCATGGCAACTTCGACCGGCCAGGATGCTGCTGGCAGCAGTCAGGGTCGTGAGCCACGGGGGTACGCAGGCCAGGAAGAAGTTGCAAAGTCGTTAAGTTTTGACAGTCAACAGATTTCATGAACCAGGGGTCTGGCTTTGTGGTATCCTCCTCCCAGAATGGGACTTTTGCCCCGGACTCAACCTGGCACGTGATGTTCAACTTCCTGTAGCTACCGGGCTCTCAGGTCCTGACCAATCATCATGTGATCAGAGACAGCATCCAGCAGAGTGATCGTGGCCTGCTTTGATGTTTGGGCAGGTTTTGTGCTGATGAACTTGCCTAAGCCTATCCTAAGCTGTGTCAGGCTGTGTTAGTCACGATCATCTAGGTCTAGAGCTTGGATTCTGGAATCCTTTGTGTACTCAGGCTGGGATCCCATTGCCCAGTCGTCCAAGAAGGCTCATGCCCAAAATGCCAGGTTTGCCTTGTAGTCCGCCCTTTAAAACTGTGAAATCAGACCGGCACCTATCTGTCGAGGTGGATCGTTTCATGCCTGTCAAAGTGGAAAGCTTCGATTACGACGAGCAGCATAGTCGCAAAAGACATAGGGAGACGGCAAGCGTTTCAACACCGGCCTTGTTTGCACTCCTTGAATCGCAAGGCGAGGGCGGCATGTACGTACGGCTGCATGCTCAGAGTCTTTCGAACATTCAACACAGCACAAGGCGACTCATAGTCACGGAAGAGCAGCATCGGAAGGCTGATTTGCGATGGCAGTGTCAGGTGCAAACTGCCGCGGACATCGTGGCCTATTCCATGTACGGAGACAAGTGGACTTTCGAGGCTTGTAAGCTGCATGATGGGACAGCAATGTTGGTGCACCTCTTTCCGCCGAAGTATTTCATGGTAGAGATCTAAGTGCAGAAGCTGGAATCGAGGGCGACTTGGCCTTGGTGAAGCTGAAAGCTCCAATCAGCAACCCTGCAGCGCTGGTCATCGCTGCGGACGACTTCGATGAGGCGGCATTGCAGAATCTGGCACAAAAACGCATTTCAGCCGGGGATGTGCTTTGTTGAGTCAGGATGTTAATATCTGTGTTGCCCCCCCCCTGGCATTGAACTGCGTGTGATTGCACGCGCTTGGAGCGGCCCCACAAGGTGCGTGCACTGGACGAAATCATCATGTTCGGCTGTCCTGACGCATCTGAGCTGCCGCTGCCTTCGACTGGTTGCTGTCTCAGAGCACAAATATCCTTCTTCTTAACATGGTGTCATATCTCGCCTTGGAAATGCAAGCTCCTGGAGTTCTGTTCCATCAGGTCATGTGGCATCGCTGTCCGAAGAGCGGGCTGGTATCGGGCTGATGCTCTCTCAGGCCCTCAACCGCTTAGCTGGGCGTCACGGGAGACAGCGGCTTAGCAGTGCCAGTAACCTCCTATCTGGTCTGAATTCGGATGCTCTGCATCTCTGCATCACTCATCATGGAACAGGTGTTTGGGAATCCTGGCAGTTCTGGAAGTGCTGTCTTTCGCTACTCCGAGAGGAGGTCAAGATACGAGGTGCGAGCGGAGCGGTTTGCTGTACATCTGTGGAGACAGCTGCGACTTGTGGGTTTGATGGGGTTCCTGTTCTGAAGGCAAGAATTTGTGATCAGTTGCATCGTTGTTGATCCAGAGGTTGTAGCAATTCATTCGCTGACTGACTCGCGTGGGAGCCTGACGGATGTTGGCCGGGGGCTTGGCTACTTTTGGCTGAGCTGGGCTGTGAAGCAGCTTCCCATCCGCTCTTTTGACATCAGGCAGAGGCTGCTTCTTGCGTCTGGCCATCCAAGCGCCCGAAATTCACAAGTTTCTGAGGCGGGTGGCTGTTGTGCTGTTGCATTGGCCTCATATCAGCCTTCTGGGATGGTAGGCTGCACAAGATGGAGCATCTTGTTGGGTCGTCGACTTTCAACAGGCGTCAAGCCTTGACACTTCTTGCGATGTTCATGATGACTAAGGCTGGAGACTGGCCAAAGCAATGAAAGCCAGGCCAGACAATGCAACTAGGAGGTGTGCTTGCTGAATATCATGGACCGGGAATCTCGTGGAATCCTGGCTGATTGGTGCAAACCTTCCAACTGCTTTCGGCGAGGTCCAGTCCGCGAGCTGACTTGCTTTGCGCAGCATGTGGGATCTGTTGAATCTAAAAGACACTACACGCGCAGCACAACCATCAGTCCAAGCTAAGGGGACGTACGCAGCATTCTTACTGTTTGCATTCCCGCTTGGGCATTCTGGCTCAAAGCCTTTTAAATACATAGGAGCCTGAAGTTCCGCACGTACTCCATCCCGAGGTCCTAGGTTTGTACTCCATCTCAGTTGCTGGCCCTAAACCGAGATGAGCCTCGAAGCAAGCAGTGCCAGCAGTTGCAGACAAACATTTTTTTTGCCTCTTGTATGGCTGCAGTGGTACAGGATAGCACTTGCCCGAGTGCCAGCTGCTCAGTTCCCTTCGCTTGATGTAAGTTGCAACTCTGGCCAAGCATTTACCCAAGCAAGGCGAGCCGGGGAAAGCTATAGGACAGTTGATCTTCGATCTTTGAGGTGTGGTATGGCCGAGTCAAAGGCGGCATGCTCGTTTTCTGGTTCGTTCTCTCAGGCCGGATGGCTGATACCCGTGCTGGAGCACAGCTCTTTCCTGCTTCATTTGCCTGCAGTTCTGGACGTGTGGATGTGGCATTGGAACAAAGCGCCGGGCTGGTCACTGACATGCCTGGCGCAAGCCTGAAGCTTGATCACAATTAGTTGCCAGCAAGTCTTGGCCATGGCTTGAGGTGATCACGAACGGATGGGGCTGGCTGGATGCTGTCTTGCAGCCGCCTGAGAGTCCTCGCTGCTCTAGCCTCTTCTATTCTTGTAGCGCTTGAGGCGCTATCCCGTGTTGCATGAGATCGACAGCCCCTTCACGCTGAAGAATTTGCTGTTGATCGCAGCGGTCCTAGCTGCGGGGCCATCTAATGTGGAAGAATTTCATTGCGCATGGTCTTGTTGACTCTAGATGCTGATCACATTGTTTGCCGTTTGCAAGTTGGTGAAGATAGCCTGGCTCATCTTCGTTTTCCTGTGCTGCTGGCTTGTTTGCGTTTGCTAGACAAAGGGTGTACAGGGCTTGAACATGGCCTCAAGTTGTGTGATTGACTTCCAAAAGCAAATTGGTGGGCCAATGGAAATAACAGGCGACACAAGTCCCACCCAGTGGCCTTTGTCGCGGAAGCCTTACATTTTCATCCGAAATACAATCCTTGCTGCGGTCTCCTGCCGCGTTTTCAATTAAGATGTGCTCGATGCTCGCCATCATCGTGTTTCAGTCTCAGCTCCTGCAATCGAATGCCATTTTGGTGGAACGTTGTGACGTCTAGGATGAGTCGTTAGTTTTATCTCTCAAGGCCTATGTTTTATGCCATGCTGCTGCCGCTTGATGAGACCGAGCAGGCCTTGCTTGCAAAAGCTTTTCCACGGCTGGCCCTCTGTCTCCATGCTTGTTTTACACAGTTTCGCAGCTTGCGCAAGGTGTACAACCTGATCAAGTCCATGCACGTTGATGACGACGTCCTGTTACGCCGTGGGCTTGGCCATAGGTCACAGCGCTAGCAATGGGAGAACGGCTGCAGGGCTGGCACTGTCGGGACAAGTGACAGCTTCCAAGGAATCTGGCGATTCCTAAGGAATCCCCACCAAAGCGTGCAGGCACGAGGATCTAGCAGCTATCATTGCAATGAGAGAACGCGTCCCAAGCAGTTCTTGGTGTTCCCATCCCCTGTCGATGCAGGGGTGGAGCAAGCAGCGCAACAAGATTATCAAGCGAGGCATGGTCCGGGAAACAGCAACATGCTTGATTCTGTTTGGTCATGCTAACAGCTTTGCAGGCTTCGAGGAGATTGCAGAACGATCCCCGACAGTCGCGGCAAAGCTGGGGGAGCCCATTTCCCGGATTTTCACAGTACTCAATGCTACGCAACTTGTTTTTATAAATAAGCGCACCTTTGTGTTGAGCCTTTTGCAGCTGAATGGTGGCCCCCAAAGGCAAAGGTCAGCCTAGGGTAATCGACATTGCCTCTGCTTCCGCCGCCACCGCCGCTGCCACCGCCACCACCAGCAGGAGATTGCTGCGAATACTGCTGCTGCTACTGTTGATACTAAATATCCCGCATGACCTTAATATACAGCATTACCATAATTCCCAAAATAAAAGAGCCTGAGGGTCATGCAGGATTTTTAGTATCCACCGTAGTGGTACTGCTGCAATCATGACCCGATCATACCCCATCCTATTTCCTTTCGCCGGTTGTTTGCAAGGCTGAGCCCAACGCGAAGAGCGCTGCTGCGCAAACCTGGAAGAAGCGTGTGACAAAAGCTTGAAGCACCTTTGCATTCGGGACGAAGCTCAGTCTCCTGTTTAGTGTTTCTTGTAGGGGTGCTACTGGAGCTTTCTGCTGCATCTCCGCATCGAACCAGTTGTTCAAAGTGAAACATAAGCATCCCCTCATAGCATTGCAGGCTCGGGTCAAGTTGCATCCCTTACCTCCGTGTGCATGCTCTCATGTCGCATTCGCAACGCGGCCTGTTATGATCTCAAGCTTCTTGCACATCATATGTGCTACCAAGCCCTCAGATGTTGTTGCTTTGGCTTCCATCATTCCAATGAGGTGACAGCGCCTCAACATATTTGACATCTTGTACATCAAGGGGCAGACCTTGTATCATGTGGCCTAGATGGCAGCAGAATCTCGCGGTTAACGGGAACACATGAGAGTATTGCAGCCACTTAAAGCTAACGAGCACCGCATGTTGGCCTGCAAAGCTTGGCCGTGATGACGGTCAAATGCAGGAGTGTCATTGTTGGATATTCGCAGAGGTCGTTTTGGCAAACACATCTATGCTCAGCATGCGTGATCTAAACTCTTTCACAGCGACTTAACAACTCGGCCAGGATGGATGGTTTCCACGAAGCACCAGGCATGCAAATGCAACATCAAGCAGGGCAAGTGTTTGAACTGTGGTTGGATGCTTTCCCATAGCTGTATGGCTGTGGAGGTGCTCGTGTCATGAAAGATGAGGGCTTGGTTTACACGCTTCTCATGCCACTTGGCCTCAGTCCGGTGTCCATGCAGTTGACCTTTCCCTGTCACCATGAGAAGCATTGGTCCATGCCAGGTGTCTTTCCCTCGCCGAAGTGCGAAAGCTTTGGAACTTGCGGAAGATGTTTGTCAGAGTGTTGAATGACAAGGCCGAGGACGGACTGAGTGGATTCGTGCTATTGGCGTTGCAGCAGGTTGTTCCCTTGCTCGCCCTACACGAAAGGGAGTGGAGTGGCTTGCATGCATGTGGACATGGCTCAGGCAAACAAGCAGACAAATCTTGCTTTTAGTGATGTAGCACTCCGAGGCACAGTCCGGTATTTTCTAGACTCCGGTCGCAGTGGCTTCCAGTACAATCTTGACCGGGTCTTCGTGGAGGCCTGCTGTGAACTACAGCCTTGCAGCAACGCAGGTCAGCCCCACCAGCAGTCACCAGCCAGCGATGCAAGTGCCTTCAAGGCTGTTCTCCACACAGACTTCGAGGGCCTGCGGCTTCTGGCACAAAGGTGGCGTGCTTAGACAAAGAGTATCCCAGGCACACTGTGCCAATGTGTCCCGCTCAGGAGATATAGTTTCGGCAGTGTACGTGGGGACCGCCGTTTGAAGGCCTTTGTGCAGGAGGCCACTGCGCAGCTCACATGTTCGAGAACTGCATGTTTCCTAGCCGGCTTGCTCCTGCAAGGCACTACAAAAAGCGCATGTAGAAAGGCTGTCGCTCCTCCGTGTCCTGAGCTATGATATTTCAGAGGAGCCCTTCTTCCGGCACTATCCCAGACGTGAGTATGCACACAAGCTTCTGAAGGACATCGAGGAGTGCCGCTCACGTGGAGATCTTGCGCAGCTTTTGAGCGAGGGGTGGCATGTCTCAAGCATGGAGGCATATGAGCAATTGTCAGTGTAAGGCTTACCAAGGGGTTAGGGGTGTGTCGGATATATGTATTTCTCCGATAAGGACCCACGTCCATCAATTATGGGGAAATATCGACTGCAGCTTCTATCATCATACAAGGTTAATGGGAGGTCCACAGAACACGGTGTTTCTTTGAGGTCGATCACTGTCGATTTCCTCGGCTCCCGGGTGTCCTTCCGCTTCCCGCTGATGGACAGCAGCTGTAGAGCCGATGATCTGCGAGTTTGATCACTACTTCGCTGAAGGACCTAGCAACCACTGCATATGCGGAAGTTCAGATGACCGACTTATGCCGACACCGGGAGACTCTGTACAAAGCTCTCTGACCCAAATGGTTCCCTGGAGCGTGACTGGAGCAAGTGCTGAGACAAACCAAGGTTCCTTTCATCCTTTGTGCCTTCATCAAGGCAGGGGCGAGCATGAGCTCATTTCTCCGAGTTGAGAGCTGTGGGTACCCAGGCCGCAGTCAACATGCCACTAAGTTCACTGCTGTAAACCATGTACAGACGGTCATCAAGGTACTTGTTGCTGCTGGCGCTGGCAGCTGAATCGTTTAACTTTGTGTACTTGCTGGTCCAGGAGGTCTGGATGCATTGCGGAGCAGGTCTTGAAGGAAGACAAAAGCAGCTGAGTCTGACTCCAGGCTATCACTTTGGAGGCCGTGCTGCAGCAGTACGAGCCATATTTGCTCCAGATGCTTCGACAGGCCTCCTTCCCAGTTCCGTGCGTTTTCAACTTTCAATGCCACGAAAGGGAAGGAAACCCCAACCTCCAACAGCTTTTGGCAGGCGATGCCGCACCGACCTGGAGTGCCTGGCCACAGCTCTGCAATGCCACCCACGGCTATGTGGAGTACAACTGCCATCAGTATCATTCCTTCTACTTCATACTATTACCATCGTTGGTAGTGCTGCTACGATCCGAGATTTCTTCAACTGAGGTGCTAGATTTGCTTGGCTTCTGTGGATTTCAGCTGAAGTCTGAGGCGGGAAATACCGGCATCAGTCGCGTCGAGACCCCACACACAACATTAAGAGCCGTGTGAGTTGCAGGACCAAGAGCAGTTCGACGCCTCCGTCCTGGGGTGCGTCCTGCAACAGGACTTTCCGAATGTCGAGCGGATTTCCAAGCTTGGCTTTGACCTACTGAAGTTCGCCAGACGACAGCAGGCAAATGGGGTCGCTCGGGATTTTTTGCTATGATTTGCTATCCATCTCTGGCAGGCGAAGCTGAGCGGCTTGTTGCAGGAGGGGCTTCAGGACGCCGAATGCGCTATCAACACTGAAAGCAATATCTTTTGAATCGGGAGATGCGAGGATCTGAGTGACTCTGTCAGTGGCTGAGGGCAGCGGCAGCAGCACCAGCGGAGCTGCATTTGAAATCATGGCTTCACTCCCCCAGGTTGAGAGTGGCTCAATGCAGCCTGAGGAGGATTCTGGCCAGTCTCCCAGCGAACTCTTGGGTATCTGAATTTGCTTGTCCGGAAGCTCTCCTGATCAGGAGAGGCCAAGCGCCCGCAGCTGGCAATACGAAAGTTTGCCAGCATCGACAGGCCAGCATCTAGCTGATCTCCCTGTCTCTCCCGTTTATTAGTTGATCTTCTCTGCAGGCGAGTGCTGGATCTTCATTTTCAGAGCCATCAGTCTCCGTGGCCTGCTTGTGCCCCTGTGAAATGGTTCTGGACAAGACCCTGCTTGAGCACAGGGGGGTTATACAATGGGTTATATAGGGGACTCTTATGAGGTTATTAAGGGGGATACTGGGAGTGGCCAGGTTTCTGGAGTTTGCCGATGACCTGATGGGGCGCAAGGCTTTTGTACAGATGCGCCGCATGGTGGAGGCCTTTCCAGTGGTTGTGTTGCACGTGCCACCTTGCACTTGGTAGTTTCCCAAGTAAGGGATTCCAATATAAACTGCAAAATGCTGTAATCCTTATTTTAGGGACCCCGAAATGGTACCCCTAATTTTGGGAAACCCTAGACCCTAAACGCAAACCCTACACAACCCCTATAGGACCCCTATCAGCCTCTTATTTTGGGAAGCCCCCCACTAGTTGCTTGCAGAGGTCCATCCGGAGGCCTTCGGACCTTACTTTCAGAAGCACTACCAAGCGATCGAGGTCCGTTTTTTAGGGATGCTGGAAAAGAAAATGGAGAAAACCATGATGGGTTAAATTCGTCATATAGGTTTCTGGGCTTTAGGGTTTAGGGTTTAGGGATCTCTGGATGACCTGCTATTTGGGCTTGCCCAATATTGTGGAATAAGGGCCATATTATAGGAAACTACCATCTTGCTTTTGTGGGAGGATCTGCTGATGGATGCCTTCTGCCGGAGGAGCTGCCCCAAAGGTTCATCTCAGCTTTGGTGAAGGTACTGTTCTCGCCTCTGAGGCAGATCTCCTTGATTGTCGATCTTGCATCCTTGCATCTTCCACTTACCCAGTTCTTGGAGCAGCACCAGGCTCCTGACATTGCTGTGAGGTGGAACAACAAGCGGCTTGCGTATCTAGCACGCCATGGCATGTACCCAGCATACGCAGCATTGGTTCAATGAGTGTTCAATGCCGGCCGGAGATCCCCCGTGCCATGCAGGACCGTTTGCTTTGTTTATTTGCGTACCACATGTGGCACGTCAGTGAGATGGCTAAGCTCAGGAGGAGCTGAACAAGCTGCAGCGGCATCAGGCCACATTGGAAAGGCATCTCCAATCCCTGGACGCTGTGGAGGACTTTTCCGTCTGCCATGGATTGATATAAGGCTTCCGTGCATGGTGCGATGAATGTTTATCGTATATTTGTCATTCAATGTCTCAAGCTGCTCAATACCAGGAGTTCGGCAATGAGGCAGCTGAGCTTGCCCAAAAGTTAAGGCACATCTTGTCTGACACTGTCTTCCAACTTTCAGCTTCAATTCTTGAGCGGTAGATTCTTTCGCTGCGTGCCAAAGCCGCTGGCACTCGTCCATTCGGTCCTGGCAGCAATGAGGAAACTTTTTTAAAACTTTTCCTAGGCTTTGGAGCGTAGCTGCCCGTGAATGGAAAGCGTAAGTTTCGAGGATGACTAGACTCCTGCTGTTTTTTTCTTTTCGAAAAAGGATGTCACCGGACGCTAAGAATCCCAAAGTATGTAACGCAGCTTGCGTGCAAAGCATGGAGATCCCGGCCTCATGAGAGTCTACAGTGAAAAGTCGAAGGGATGGTGCTGACATGCGTACGGTGAGGCAAGGCCCGCGTGAAGGCCCGCAGGGCCGAATCGCCGATTCCATCGAGGCATGCACAGAGTGTGGCGTAGCGTTGCATCATGGCAAAGTCCTGGTGAGATCTAGTGAGACGATTTGATGTTGCAGGCACTGACGGCCTTGCTGCGTGAGGACGTCTTGGACTGCCAAAGGCTGCAGGCGAGCCAAGCCACGCATGAGGAGCAGATAAGATGATTTAGTTGAACTGAGTGGTGCGGAAGCTCTTAGTACGATCCTTGTTTGAAGCCATCTGGCAGGCGGCCCAAGCTGTGTCTGCCTTTGAGGCCCACAACTGTGAAGCTGTGAAAGTAGGGCTATAGTTCTTTTGGGGTTATATAGGGGTTATATAGGGATAATGGAAAAGAAAATGGAAACCCTAGGTCCCTTTAAAGGGTTATCTAGGGGCTATATAGTGTGCAACTGGAACCAGCTGTGCAGGAGATCGCGGCGCAATGTGGCCCCGGAGGCCGGTTGGAGCTACAGGCCGGCCCCTAAACCATTCCTACATAACCCTAATATGTCCCAAGATAATTCCATAGCAAAGTAGTTTCCATTTTCTTTTCCATTATCCCAAGATATCCCCAAATATCTCCCTATACATAACCTATACATACATGTTGTGAGTGAAGTGTGCAGGAGCCGACGCTGCCGAAGCTGCAGCTCCGAAGCGGCCAAAGCCAAGAGCACGCACAAAGTGGCGTGGCGTCAACGCTTGCGGACCCTCTCGGTCGTGCGAAAAAACAATGGGGTCCTTGCCTGGTACGTCTGTTCTTACGCTTCAGCCCTGCCTGAAATGCTTGTTCCTACAGGGTCGGGAATGGTTTTGTTGTCGATCTCTCCTTTCAAGAGGCCCAGCTGGACGCCGTACTCCACAAAGCCTGGTTTGCTACAAAGGCGGAGACTTCAGACTTCTGTTGGGAAGCGGCTGCCATCCAGCCTGAAGAAAATTGAGGCATGGACAGAGCTAGTGATGCTCCATTCTGAGGCAGGATGCAAGGTTGCAGGGTTGGCTTGTCAAGTTTGCATAGCTGATAAGTCTTCTGGTTGCTAGATGCACCACAGACGCACAAGAGCATTGAATGGCAGTCACATGAGGGTCACTGGGTTACTCCGAGAGCGGCAAGAGAACGAGCCAACCCATGTGGACAACTAGGACTTCTTTACATGCCTGCGTCCAACATTCGTGCAGGCTTTCGGGAATTCTAAAGAACTTGTTGCCAGGTCGCCGAGTTTCGCTTCAAGTCCTTCTTTCTGAGGATGCAGGTGGCACAGCTTGGCGCTATCTTCTCTCAAGAGATCCCCTGCAGTATCCCACAGTACAAGATGGCTTGAAGCTGCGTGGCTGGGCATTTAGCAGGTGGAAACGGACGCCGCGGTTCTGAAGATCATCCAAGACGGATACTGGCTGTGAGCTTGGTGAGCAACAGTGCTGCAAGGATACACGCCAGCCTTTGCTATGCCGATGAGGTTTGATCTTCACAATCTCGCACAGTTGGATTACGACTTCCAGGACTTTTTTCACCGTCGTTTTGCGGAAGTGCCTTGGCTTCAGTGAGGTAGAAAGGGCCTGCAGAGTGTGGTGACATTGACATCTGCTGCTTATTTAACAGGCTTTGAGACTTCTAGGCTGGAGCTCTGTTGGGCAGGTGTCCTCTGCAGTTCTGCAGTTCATGACCATGTCACAGTCTCAGCCCAGTGGCATAAGTGGTCAGTGGGGGTCCACTGCGAGACCTAGGCCGCACCCCCATTTTGTCCTGCTGCGGGAGCTGTCGTCTCTGGACTTTCCTTGGGAGCGCTTCATGGAGGCACACAGGGTTGCAGCACTAACATGAAGCGAATCAGTTCCATTGCTGTCGTCAGAGAGCTCATCAAAACTCCTCAGGAACATGCAGCCTGCATTCTGCGCTCGAAGGACACGGTCAGTGGTGTTGCATTCTCTAGAAAACGCAAGGGTTGAATAGCCCTGAGATGCACCGGGAGGACCAGGACTATCTTCAGTTTCTGATCTCTCTGGGCAGCTTCGAGGTTGGTTCGAAGGCACGGGATCCGTGGAGCTGGTAATGAGTGTCCTGCACTGCAGCTGACGTTCAAATGCAGGTCTACAGAGTGGTGGAGCAGACATGCAAGCTGTGCGCGGCTGTTGTGAGACTTCTTTGTGGGCACTCTGTGTTCAATGCAACAGAAGTTGCAGGTACCACTCCATGGCCAACACCATGTTCAACTCTTCTACGGCATGGCCATCTGCTGCGCCAAGGGAGGAGGCCTGTTGAAAGATGCGATCTGGACGCAAGCACCACTCAAACCCTTTGATTACAGTATCCTTCAACATGCCATGGCCAGCCCACGTACATTTCGTCCATTTGGGAAGGAAAAGGTGTTGAGATGGTTGAGATGGTGTGAGGTGCTCCAGGCTCCATCGGCTCCGGCTGTTCCGTCGACTCCACTGGTTGTGCTTGCCCGAGGAAAAGTAAGCTCCGCCCTGCTCCGCTGATTTCGTCAGAAGTCGTCCCAGGCCAAGGCCAGCGAGTCCGGCTACGTTGCTGGCTTGGCCGGCACCGCTGATGGCTCGGGGGCTGATGGCTCGGGCGCTGCTAGCAGCTGCCCGGCTGGGTGTGACGCTGTTTCGAGCTCTGCGTGTCTCGCTGGCATTCGCTTGCGTTGGTTTTTTGAGATACTCGTGGCACGTAGAATGTAGAGAAATGTGTAGCAAGCGCGAAGCAAAGGCCGCCTGTGCCCGGAACGCCAACTTTTCAAGGCAAGCCGGTGTACATGTGCTGTGTCTTTTCGTTATTCGTTTTGCAGCTGATTCAGTTGCTGCTGACGCGATCTTGGACGAGGGCATTGCGTCTGAGGGGCCATCTGGTCCAAAGGCGCACGACCGCTTGTCCATGAGCTTGTGGCCATGGTTTGCGATGGTCTCCAGGCCAACTCAGCGCCTGAGCGTGCCAAGGAGCTGGCTAGGCATTGCTTTCTGTGTGCAGACGGTTTAAAGAGTGTTGGCTTTGGCAGTGTTATGTCAGGCTGGCGTGCGAGAGGAAAGTGGATGCCAAGAAGGCGCTCCCGAATACGGCCGTTCCCACACGGTTCTAAGTCTTACAATGACCTGTTGCGCTGTTTCTGCAGGTCATGGCGCTGCTGATCTGTCGCGGCATGTACTGCTGGAACCCTCTCAAGGCGTTTCCAGCATCTAGATGCATGTGCTTGTGACGCATTTCCCATTCTACACCAGCGCTCTCCGAAGGTTTTCTTCTGTGCAGTTTAGGGGGTTTACGCATTGACCGCACGCAAAGCTGGACCAGCAGCTGGACCAGCAAAGAGACGAGAACAAGATCCGCCCCTTTGCTGGAAGGTGATCATGGACGATGCTGATGCCAAGGTGGCCAGCTGCGATCAGCCACGAGTTGGGACATACTCATAGTACCTGAATGCCAGTACGGGAGAATCTAATGGAAAAGAACAAAGAAAATCAAACGGCAGCTGGGGTTATAAAGGCAAGCTGACTCGCAATCTGCCAATGAAGACTAATGCAGGATGTCAGATCATGGTCACAGATTGAGAGTGTCCTGTTCTGCCCTCGGTTGAAGAGTGCCAGTCCACCATGTAACTGCAGCAAGGGCTCGTGGTGACTAAGGAGCTTCCTAGATGCCAAGGATGAGGCGCTTGCTGTGCATTTGCAATTTGGGGCTCTGCATTTTGACTGATGGCAGGGGCCTGGACCAATGCTGAGCCAGCTCCCAATCCTTCAAAGCCACTGCTAAGCTGACAACGGTGCAGTCTAGTATGACTTCAGGTCTGCAGGCAGCACAAGGCCTACAAGCAGCTGGGGCAGCCCAGCTACACCCAACGCAGCCAACGCAGCCACCAGCAAACGCAGCCGCAAACCCGCAGCCACAGCTGCAGACTTTGGCGCAGCTGCAATCTCTGTTGCAATTCCAGCAGATCTACCAAGCATCGCCGTGGCAACAGCAGCAGGTTTGCAGCTTGTTGTTGCTTCCTGTGTTGCTGCTTCTCTGCTGATTGCTGCTGCGTCTGCAGATGGTGATCCAGATCGTTTGCCTCACGCAGAGAGCAGAGGAACATGTCTTTGACAAGAAGATCGAGGCCGGTCATGAGTTGGAGCTTCCTCACTGAAGCTGCGTCACCTGGTCAGTTCTTTTGGCGTGGCATTCTGGACAGTGTGCTACCCTTGGAGAGGAGGCTGGATGTCTGCAGGTGTTGTCGTACGCATGCTTCGGTGTTGTTCGGCAAGGCCTGACTAGCTCTTGCAGACGAGCTCTGCTCGCTTCCATCCGAAAGCCGCGTGACTCGCGCAATCAGATCTTTGTAGCTGTCAGTACAGTGACACAGTCTCACGAGATCCCAGATCGTCAGCTTTCGGGGGTGCAATGCGGTGAGCATGATGCTGATGCCGGACTAAGCTGCAATGGTGCGGAGATGCGCGACGGATGCAATAGGTCGAGGATGTTGAGCACATGCAGCAGTTCGCCATTTTGGCACAAGCTTCGGAGTTGATAGGGAGACTCACACTAGCTTTTCTTTCAAGTTTGAATCGTACAGCTCAGATAGACGGTTGACCATGTGATAGAAGTCTTTGGCAATGAACTCGCTTCGAGCGGAGATGGACCAAATCCTGACGGACCGAGCCCGCGAGCGCCTGCGGTGGATGAGGCCCGTGTCGTCTTCAATTCACTGTGCCAGGAGACCCGGCAAGAAGCCATCGTGGAAACCTTGAAGGCCACCTGCACTTGCAAATGGTGGGAAGCTCAGTGGAGGGCCCTGGTAGGCTTGGCGTGAGGAGTCGACTCGGCCAAGGGAAGGCCGATGTTGAAACGCGTGCCTTCGCTTCACTTGGCACTCGTGTGGTGATGTGTGGTGCATGTGGTGCTAGGTGTGCAGCTGCTGGAGCGCATGGTTGCAGCAGGCAATAGCTTTGCCAAGCATTGAGCTGTGCAAGAGGCTGTGTGGCAAGGCACTGAATCGCAGCACTTCGACTGGCCATGTCTTGGCCTGGACGTGGCAAAGCCCCAGTCCCCTCTGCTTGGAGCCTGGCGGGGAAGCAGATTGTGCAACGGGCATGGGACGGATGGGGCGGAGCGCCAAGGTCTGCAGTGCTGAAGGCGGTCGACCAAATGGCTCCTCACCGCAGGCCAGCTTGGGTCGGTCATTGTTGAGATCAACGGAACATGCTTGAGACCGATTGTCTTGGGGGATGCAAGCAACAAATTTGTCTGCAGGTCTCGATTGCTGGAAGTATCCGCAGCGACTGCATCGCGTGGGAGCAGCGAGAAAAAAGTCACCTTTCGCGAGATCGTTGCATGGTCACATCATAATATGTCACAGCAAGTGCAACATGCGCAACACATTTCATCCTGTTTGGCTCGAGCTTCACGGCGCGCCGCCCGATTTGGGGTCAAGGCTCGGGATCACGCACTGGCAATTGCTTTCAGACTTTGGGTGACTGCTGAGGCGCCTCCTCTTTGCTTTCTTCAAGTGTTCAAAAGCGTTTCAAATGTTCAAGCTGGAGCCTTGAAATTGCCGCAGAGTTGCCTGTTCTGTTCCCGACTTGCTGCTTAAGGTTCCTGACATGTGTGTTTGTGGCTCTGGGATCTGCATTCCCAGAGGACAATAATAGATTGGTTCCATGTCCACAGCAGCTCCAGAACGCGTGCTCTAGCATGTGTGCTACAGCAGGACCACGCTCTTGCACGAGACGTGCTCCTAGCCACGCTTGACATGCAGCCCCCCACCCCTGCAACCTGCAACCTACAACCTACAACCTATGCCAGGATGAGTGTTCTTCGGACAGGACGTGCTCAGTCCAGGCATGCAGTCTGCTTATCGATCTGCTTTCCCAAGTGAGCTGCTTGGGCCCTGGAGGCACTGCAAATGCGACACTCCAAAAGAAGCCAGTCGCAGGAGGACATGGATGAGGAGGCCCTTCTGCTGCAAGCGCGCCTTCAGATTCCACATCCATTCTTTAATCTGCAGCAGGATGTCTGCAGCGGTGCTGCAGAGCTCCCCTCTTCAGATGACCTATGCTACACGGGATCTTTTTTGGTGGAGAAGTTTTTCGTCAAGATGACAAAGCAGACAGCGACCAGCGGCACTGTCGATCTTCAAGACTCTTGCCTGCAAGCAGATGCGGCGTCGTTCTTGGTTTGTGCAGCTCATCAGCTCATCCAAGATGTCTCTGAAGCCACTGAGGCAGTCGGGCCCAAAACCACAACATGCAACGGAGCGCACTTCCAGCAATCTGGATCAGATATTACTGTGGAGGACACCACGAACTGCGGTCTGGTGCCGGGCACAGACTACACAGTCAAGTACTGTTCCACACAAGACGAGATTGTAGTGCACATGCTGAAGCCTATGGATGTCAGCGTGGTTTTGAGCCGCACTCCCTGTGCGGAAGCTCAGCCCAACATGCAGGCCAGGTGGGCACTGGCATGACTTCGTGCGGAGCAACAGCATTTGAGTAGGTGTACTGTACTTGCATGAGGGCTCCCAGTTCAAATTCCGACTTGCTTCCTCTGCTACACGCCATGTGTAATCCTTCAGGCATTTTTCAACTGTAGCGTGCTATGGTACTGCCGATCCATACATGATATTGCATGTTTGCAGCTTGAAGTGTGCTACATGTGTGACGCGGCATCTCGGTCGTCTAGAGAACACAGATTGGCCGTTTGCAGGCGCTCGTCCAAGAGCAGGCCGTCGCTGAGTCAGACAGGGGCTGCAGCGGATATGGTACCTTCCCTCGTGGAGGGATTTGCTACTCTGGGGCTTTCTTGGTGGAGTCCTTGT